GGCAAAGACCCTACCAGTGCCAAAAGCTATCGCCCCATCAGCCTCTTGTCCTCCATCTCGAAGCTATTCGAAAAATTGATACTCAGCCGTCTGCTGGTGTTTTCAAATGATAATAACATCTTTCTCAAAGAGCAATTCGGGTTTAGGAAAGGCCACTCTACCATCCACCAACTCGCACGGGTTACTAACATCATCAAGCGGAACAAGTCCGTTTCCAATACATCTGCCATGGCATTGTTGGACGTCGAGAAGGCGTTCGACAATGTCTGGCATGATGGTCTAGTGTACAAGCTGCATCGATACAACTTTCCGAACTACCTCGTGAAGATCATCAAAAACTACTTGTCGGGCAGATCATTCCAGGTCTACTTGAACAATGTCTCCTCTGATACGTTCAACGTTGATGCAGGGGTCCCTCAAGGTAGCCTGCTTGGGCCTATCCTATTCAACATTTTCACGTCAGACGTTCCTCCCCTGTCGGGTGGTGGTATCCTGTCAATGTTCGCAGATGACACCTCCATCATCTATAAGGGTCGAGTGATCCGTGCTCTGGCGAGTAAACTACAATCAGGCCTGGATGTTTTGTCCGACTATTTTAAGAGCTGGAAGATTTGTATCAATGCAGCTAAAACACAAACCATTCTGTTCCCACACTCGAATTCACCTCGGCTTGTTCCACCTGCTAACAACAAGGTCCATCTTGATAGCACTCCCATTGAATGGTCGAGTGAAGTAGTCTACCTTGGTCTCACCCTCGATAGCAAATTGCTATTCCGATCCCATGTGGACAAGACATCCACCAAGTGTAACATCTTGATCAGGTCGCTCTACCCTCTGATAAACAGGAAGTCCACCCTGTCCCTCAAAAACAAGCTTGCTGTCCACAAGCAAATCATTCTGCCGGCTATTGAGTATGGTATGCCAATCTGGGAGAGTTGTGCTAAGTGCCACCACTTAAAGCTTCAGAGGATCCAAAACAAGATCCTCAGAATGATCCTTAACAGTCCACCGCGAACTCGTAATTCTGAGATTCACCACCTGGCCGGTCTTCAAACACTCGAGGAGCGAAAGACTTCCACGCTGGAAAGGTTCAGAGTCGCCTGTCTGCGATCAAACCACCAGATCATTCGTGATTTGGCAACCTAGTATAAGTAGTTAGGTGCTCAAGTAGGTAGGTTATCAAATTTTTAAATTCAAACCAAAACAATCCCACAAAGGGTATCCTGTAAATTAGCGCTAAACGCAATCATCACATTAGAATAACCAATTAACTAGAACAAAGATGAAGAGCCAAAGGCTAACCAATTGAAATGTTAAATCAAATGTTGAAACATAAAACCCAGAAAATAAACGTAAATTTTACTACTACTGGTATCAGCTCATTTTCGCTTCGGACGGCGTGGTCAGCAATAGCAGCAGTAGGAAGGTGGCTAGTCCACTTTTCTATAACCAACAATCAACAATTGACTGGTCGTGGCAAAGGAGGTGCCAATCGTCATCGCAAATTCTTCGAGATAACCACCATCCGTCGTCTGGCTCTCCGTGGCAGTGTCTGACGTATCTCCGGTCTGATCTACGAGGGTCGAGGTGTGCTGAAGGTGTTCGTGGAAAATGAGGTCCGTGATGCTGTCACCTACACTAAACACGCCAAACGTAAGTGGCCATGGATGTCCTCTTCAATAAAACGGCCCTTTTCAGGGCCATCAAGCTTATATCAGTAAAGAGTTGGAATAGAATTTATCTGTGCTTGTTTGTCCATATTCAGAACCACAAGCCCCCAACGACCACACAAACTTGGAAGCAGGGGTGCAAGTGATTTTGATTGATTCTCGTAATCAACTTTCTTTTTGAAAAAGATTACTACAAATTTGGATCGCCTACAATTCAAAAACGGAAAGAGTTAAGATAATAGATATTTCAGGCATAACATTTGATAACGGCACAAAAGCATTTGTAAACTAACCTTCTAAGGCCCTTTACACGCGAACCAAAGTACGCCCACGCAAACCAACAACATCATCGCATAGGGGCAACTATCACCTTTCCGAAAGTGGTATTGGTTTGCGTAAGCGTACTTTAGTTCGCGTGTAAAGGGCCTTAGAATGTTTGTTTACAAATGCTTTTGTGCCGTTATCAAATGTTATGCCTGATTTGATCAATTAAAAGAACTTAATGCTCTTCACATTTATTCCGTCCACTAGCGGTCCTACGTCAAGCTTCCGTTTGTGACCCTAGGCATGTTATTAAGTGATTCAGTACGATCCGAAGTGATTATGAAAATTTCTGAAGATATTCAGTACTTTCCGAAGTGATTAAAACTTTTCTAAAGTTAATCAGCACTTTCCAAACTTTTCTGAACTGAATCAGTACTTTTTCAAGTTCCAAAGTCGCAAATTCTATCATCACCAAGCGTATTCAGTGCGTTTTCCAGCTATTTCAATATTGTATTGGTGATGCAAAACATTTTGGGGGGTAACGCAATATTTAAATGAGTGTTGCAATACTTTTCCATGAGAGTGCACATGGCCAATGATAACGAACCAAATTTTAGTTTAGTTCGCTCATAAATCGTACAAAGTGCAGGAACTCAGCGATGAGTAATTTTGCCTTAATTTTTTTAGGTTTGTCCAGGAAACAAATCCCGAATATGAGAAAAATAAAGATTGGATTCACTCAGTCTATTGGTACTACTCCTAGACTTAGTAAAAATTTCCTCAATCTTCCTCATTTTCCGGCAGATTTACTGATAGCCAGGCATGGAAAATCATTTGCATTCATTTCAGGCATTCATTTGCCCCTAACTGTTTTTTATCAACAGAATTCCGCAAAATGAAATAGGGAATTTTTGTAGGTTTTATTATTAGCTACAACTTTTGCAAATAACTCAAATCCGTATCTCTTATGCATGACGAACCAGAGCGAACAGAATCCACTAATGTTTTTTAGTGAATGTATTTTACATTCACTGAAAAACAGTAACAAGTTCTGCCCGCTCTAATTCGTGATGCATAAGAGATATAGATTTGAGTTACGGGCAAAAGTTGCAGTTAATAACAAAACCTACTAAAGCTCTATACATCATTTTGCGGAATGCTCTTGATGACAAAAGTTAGAAGCAAATGAATGTAAATGAATGCATGAAATGAATGTAAATGATTTTCTATGCCTGCTCATAGCTGTGTACCTGCACTTTTGGCGATTATGAGTAAACTAAACTCAAATTTGGGTCGTTCTCGTTGCCCGTGCTTATTTATGATGAGTAGTATACTGCCCATAACCGCAAGTCAGTCCCATCTGTAAAAAAAAACTGGAAATGAGGTAACGGCGTTCAAAGATTTTACAAGTTTTCTCATCTTACACTTATTTTGAAAAGAAAATTTTGAAAATAATCGTGCTTGTGATAGAATGCATCTGTGTTAAGTAAATAATATTGAATAAAATATCGTGAAATTTTCATTTAATGACCAAAATCTGAGTTGGACTGACTTGAACTGACTGACGTCAATGAGAAAAATAACCGCAAGTCAGTCACAATGCCATGACGATGCTGCATTAGTTTAGCATAGTATTGAACGGTAGAAAGATACCATGGTCCCATACAACGTTATTGAATGTTTCTGGAACCGTTTCGCTTTCTCCAGAGTTATGGTCGGAACATATTCCAGCGAGTATGAGTCTTGAGACCAGAAATTTAAATCATATTTAAAGTTTATTAAATTAAATCACATTTGTTTTTCTAATGGGACTGACTTGCGGTTACTTTTCGCTGAAAGATAGTTTGACTTGGTATTGTCTTTCATTTTTCTTGGGCACCTTTTTTTTCAATAGCACAGGTAAAAAATCATAGAAAGATAAACAGAATAATTGTGAAGTAATGAAATTGGGTTGTTAGCGTAAGCTTTCCATAAAACATCAAAGAAAGGTTTTTTTATCTAGTTCGTTTATTTGTAAGGCTCAATCGATCAAAGAAAGGTTATCTTCCATTTAATTCCACTTTATTAATTTTGGTATCCATGACAGATACGTATTTCGACTACAATGTGCAGTCATTACTTCATTATGATGGCTACCAAGCCTTTGGGAATTTTCCTTATTAGAGAGTTGTATAGATTTTTCTCCTTTAGTTCTCTTAAATCTTTGGTTTTTATTAGTTAGGTAGGTTTCAATTCAACACATTGTAGTTTCATTCTTATACATGTGATTTTGACTTTTTTACCTAAGGGATGAGTAGTTCTTTAGTGGAAATGACACTTTTGCACATTGTAGTCGAAATACGAATCTGTCATGGATACCAAAATTAATTAAGAATAATGGTGCTAAATCAAAATTGATAAAAAATACAGATGGGACTGATTTACGGTTACCGGCAGAATATGTGCACAGTTCGAAAAAGTAGTGTAAATTTCTGTTCAGTATGATGCACATAAATGGAACGTCACATATCATATAAGTTTACATTATATATCATGTAAAGTTCTGAGACATTTCATGCAATGTAGCAAATATTATATGCAAAAGCCCATTGTTGTAAACAGCATTGTTTACAAGTTGCTCGGTTGTGTGTAATGAAATACAAGTTTATGGAATGATTGTTTACATCACTATTAAAATTCAGAATTTTCATCTGTGTGTTTCATATTTTCATCTTATTATTCTTTATAATATAGAAGCCTCAGATTTTTTTAGACTTGCTATTTCCGTTTGCGCAAAGTAATTTTTCTATTCTTGTATTGCAGCTTGATTTTGTTTTCATATTAATAACTTTGTATTTCTTCAATGTTCTGCACTCTTTGCGATTTTCGACACCTACTATAGATTTTCCGTTTCAGGTTTTTTTTTTGTTTTATGTTTGTCTTGTATAATTTTCTGCTATTTTTATTTTTAACTCATTTTTTCTTTTTTATTTTCTGTTGTTTTATAATTCAATTCAAATAATTCATAGAATTACTGTTCACTTTCAAGTGATTTCAGACATTCCATTTTCAATATTAACGACTTACCTGATTTGTATAAACCGAAAGCGTTAAGCAGTCTTCGACATCGGGAGCGAACTGCTTTCCATTGAACAGCGAAATCAGCTTCAACTGAGGACACGGTAGACCATATCGCGATACATCGCGAACACCTTCCCATGGGAGCGCTTTTCTTGGAGGCTAAAAGAATCCTTCCGCATAAGTACCTACCAACAGTATTGCAAATCATCAACCAACCTTAAATCTGTACTCTCCAGCCGTAGTTTCTCCATATTTGACACTCAAAAACTGAAGAATCTTCCTACCGGTGAATGCACTCTCGGCAGTCGAACCACGTAGAGTTCCCAAATTCGGCAGTGCAATCTCAGGAGCTTCATCGAAAACCGGCACTGAGCCACCAAGTTGCAAACTCATCGTCAGTGCTAGAAAAAGATAAGCTATCGCCATTGTCACCATTCCATCGAATGTACCACCAACTTCAAACGACAAATAATCACCGTTCGTTTCGTCGCAGAAGGTGATGGTCAACAGTTACTAACATAATGCGAATACCTGATCGGGGCAGAAGAACGCGAAAATGCGAAGATGTGTACACAAAACAGAGATTCTGATGTTTTCGACCCAAACCAAAACAACACACAACCTTACTTATGCCATTACGGCCTGCCTGTCCGCGATCTCACTCAACCACCTACATTGAACGGCACATTATCTCAATCGGGTTGAACCGGTTCCCCAAACAGACGAGCCCCACTAGGCTCGCTAGAGTTGATGGGAGATTACGTGGAGCAGGCAGTGGATCGAGGTATCAGAGTTTTACTGTGATTATGACTTCAACCGAATGCGATTTTCGGTTGGTGTAGAACCCCTCCACTAAGCTTGCTAATCATATTATCGCTCGAAGCGGGATAGGTATATCGAGTCAGTTGGTTGTAATCAAAAGTTGTGAAGTTTCAATTCGAAATTACGTTCTGAAACGAGTGCAAAATAAGAAAATATTAACATCAATAAAGGTAACAATCTGCTCTAATACAATTTGATCGGGTAATCTCCCACTAAAGGCGTCATTGCCATCCAATTAATCGGAAGCAACACGGGAAGAGAAGGTGCTTCGTGTTTCCAACTGACTCCAAGGTGGGAAAGACCTCGTGCGCGCTAAATGTTGTGTTCAACCTTCAAATGGTTGCAGCCAACTCATGTTTGAAATCCGTTAACTCAAATTCGCAAAAAATCGTACATACATCAAAGATTGAGTAAATTTATATTCGTATATGAGAAAATGGCACTCACTCTTATATGGGTCACATTTATTCATATTTTATTAAACATTTACTCAGTGATCTACGTTTTTGCGAATTTGGGTAAATGGATCTCAAATATGGGTGAATTCAACGGCCGTGTTCGCCTTAATAAATTATACTTGCATACAATACATTTTCTATGCTGAGTTGCATGAAATCAAACTGCCACCTATGCTTTGAACTAAAAAGTTAAAGGCAATTATTAATTCTCGGTTATAAAATATATAATTAAATTGCATCTAAATCCAGGCATAGAAAAAAGTTCATATTTTATCCTTGACATAAAGGATATGGCTCATCGATGAAAATCTCCTGTGTTTATTTTTTGTTCAGAACATAGCGTCAGCTGGACAGTACAAAATTTGTAATGGATAAATGCATTCCTTCGAAATTTTTCTATAGGCCCAATATTAGGGAAAGTGAAATTCAATTGAAACTGCATGAGCGTAGAGTGTATCACGTTCAAAAACTTGAAGTTGTTGTTGTCGTATTGGTACATCCAAACCAATATTAAGAACAGAGTATCTGATTGCTGTATTGAAACCCAAAAGTGCTCTTATCTCATCCACAACATAAAACTTCTCTACCATCACTGGTCTATCCTCCGAGATGCACAATGCAGCAGAAAAATTGGCAACTACTTTGATGTGTTCTTTCATAGCATAAGCTTTCAAGGGTTTGTTAGACGAAGACTGCAAGCTAAAGATTTGAGATGAAGCGTTCTTGTCAGCTAAAATCTTATTGAATGATGCCTTTGTTATGGTGTTGACTTGAGCACCAGAGTCTATTAAAAATGCAATCTCAACTCCAGCTACTTTAACTTCAATCATTGCAACGTTTTCATTGGGTGCTTTATAACTACACGAAGAAGATTGTAGATGATTCACTGCTCTTTTATTAGATTCTGCGATTTTTTGTAGTTCCATCATTTTCTAGAAAATGGTAGCAATTATTAGTAATAAGCATTTTATTTGCATTGATACTTTTCAGATTTTCTGTTGACAAATTAAGTTTATTCCAATTCACAAAAATAGGTTCAAAATGTTACTCAATCAAAATGGGATACAAAATTTACTCAATATCTTCATCATTTTCGCGTACCTTCGTGTCCAGCTCATCTTCGGTTTTTCTCGACTCAATGGCTGCAACTTTTCGCTCAACAACTGCCTCCTCTTGTTCTGCATGACGCTTCAACGGTCTTCTCTGGTCTCCTGTAGAATTTGATGGACAAACACGTGCAATATGACCCATTTGTCTGCAAACTCGACACTCTTTCCTGATCGCAAAACACTCAGATGCTCGGTGGTAAACGCTTCCACATCTCCAGCAATTGAAACTAAAATTGCGACGATGATTTCCTCTCGAGAATCCTCTTCCTCCTCGTTGAAATCCTCTTCCTCTTCCATTTGAATTAAACGCTGCATGATGGTCGCGGAATCCGTATGACACTGCTGCTACCAATGATGCCTCTCCATGACCATGAACTTTTTGGAACTCTTCCTCGTTGGTTTTCTCAGTCTCTCGATCTCGTACCAGGTCTATTAGGTTCTTCATCGTTTCTTGTTTTACCCAATTCCGATGGACTAGGATCCCTACCCTTCCATCACTGGCACCTTTTGTAACCACCCTTACTACAGCTTCCATTTCCTCGTCGATCCCATAATTGCACAGTTTTGCTGCAGAAGCCACGCGTTGAACAAATGCAATGCTACTTTCTGAGGAGCCTTGACTTATCATCATGAGTCTTCCTCGCTGCGACATTGTGTACGTTCTTGAACCGTAGTACTCATCCAGTCGGGCCAATGCGTTTGAAAATGGAGCTATTTTTTCATCGGGCATTCCGGGTGTCGAAGCTGTTGTTTGGAATATTTCTGTAAGCTTTGGCCCTAATTTAACCTTAAACACCCTAAATTTCGATTGCTCGTCAACACCTTTAATAAGCTGCATCATTTTTGCGACCGTCCATTATTTCTCGCTCCATATGGAAGGTTCGATACTGGCTTGATTGATGGGCGCTACTGTTGAGCAGTCCCGGTCAGGGTATCACCCCTGCGACTGATGAATAGATCTTCGAAGCCGCAGTGAGGGAATTTCTTCAAAAGCCATCACTGTGGATGCCACTGAAGCTGTGGTTGCTGGATGGGCGCTACTGTTGAGTAGCCTCGACCCGGATGTGATTCGCTGTCGTTGTTGCTGGATGGGCTCGTGATGGAGGCCCGCTGCTGCTGTATTTGCTATCTGCTGCTGGTTCTTGGTGTTGCCGCTTCCAAGTCTGCCGTAATTCTCCCCTCTCAGTGAAAAATTTGCCGAGATTCAGTTAACAAACGGGAATTTTGCCGAGATCTCAGCTAACAAACATATTTTTTGCTGAATTTCCAGCGAAAAAATCTAAGTGTGCAGGATCCAGGGGGGAGTGGAATTAGTTCACCGGGCGTTGGTTGGGGGGGGGGGAGGGAGCGGGTTGCACTCGCGGTTGCTGGTTGGTTCAAATAAGCGGAAAATCGCCTGGTCCGAAAGTCGGGCCCTTATTTTTCTTACGTCCTGGTTGGTTGGAGGTCGATGCATCCTTTCGGATACGCTTGAACTCTTCGCGTTTGGGGCACTGACTGCTAGAGCCCTGATGAGCACCGCCACAGTTGACACACTTGATAACCTCAGGACTGTCCTCTGGGCAGTCGGAGGAGGCATGGTCCTTGGTGCAAAAGCTGCAGCGCGGGTTGATGTTGCAGTTTCGGGTGCCGTGCCGAAGTTGAGGCAGTGCGGACACTACGTTACATCGCGGCGCATACCACGGTAGGACTCCCAATAGATGATGACGTTGAAGAGGGCATTAAGCGTTGCCGTCCCCTTCTTGAAGTGTACCAGGAAAAGGCAATCCTGGTACTTCCTCTAGATTTCCTTCCTCCTCTTGATCCAAAAGACGGCGATGGGGGCTAGCTTGTACCGGTCTTTAATTTCGATCACCTTCGTTTCGAAATTCGGAAGGCCTAGGAAAACTACCCTAAATGGCTTGTCGCCCGGCATGTCGTGTGTGAAAAATTCCACTTTGGAATTCTTCAGCGAAGCCAAAGCTTCGTTGTAGTCCGCTTTGGTGTGGAGGATGATCTTCGTGCCAATCCCGCACAGCTTGTACTCGGCAGCGACGCCGAGGGTTGCCATCTCTTGAGCCACCTTGTCGAGTGGTACTGACTTCACCACCAGAGGTGGGAGTTTCACTCTCGGTCCGTTCTGGCCGCCCGTGGCCATGTTTTCAACGGACCCACCGAAATCACCGACGTCACTACCGTTGGTTGCAGTGGCGTCATCCTGGAGACCACTGTTCTTTAGGGTATGGACACTTCCACGGTCGGATGTGTCCCTCTTAGTCTAATAGCCGCCTTGGGCAGCGTTAGACTGGGTTGCAGGGTTCGAGCTCGGGTTCAAGCCTGTCTTCTTCTTCCGAAACGACCGAAAACGAGAACAAACGCGTAGCACTGAGCTAGTGAGCGAATCAAAGAACCGACTGTACTGCACAACGGTTTGATGCAGGATGTCCTCCCCGTTTCTCTGCTCTGCATGAGCTTATATTTATATAGGCACATATCACAGGAGTGGAACTTCGGATCTGAAAGTGGCTCCACTTGTCATTTGCGAACACTAGCGCACCTAGCGGTAGTAGGCATCTTCTGCCTGCAGTTAAGATAGGCAGCATGCTATGATAGTGTGAGTGCACATAGAAAGCCCGTGTGGAACGCTACCACAACACATCGCTTGTTGAGCAGAAAAACGAACCATTTTTGATTCACCGATTTGTTTGCACTTCCCCTTCTGTTCTGTGCACATATGCTTTTTCTTCTTCTTCTTCTTTTTTCTTTCGTAACAGCCGGCGCTCGACAGCCGTTCGGATTACGGAGCAATGGGCGATCGTACACAGCAATGAACAATTTCATTTTTTTGTTTCGATCAAAATATAGGGGAAATGTATGTAATGTCGGCCTAAGTGTTCCTAATTTGGGCCCATATATAAATTCAGCAAACCACTAAATTTTCAATAGCAACCAAAAATATCCATTAGTACCGTCCCAATGACGCGTTGAGCTAGATAAAATTGATAAATAGCAGATTTTTAGCGATGGGCCCAATCTTAGAACCATAGGCCAACATTAGAGCCATTTCCCCTAAATGTTTATTAATAAAATTGACGAAATTTAAACTATGAAACTAGAATTTAAGAAAATAGATTATTATTTCTTATTCCACTCTCCGCTACTACAGGTACTACTGGCTTAAAGCCTTTGGAAGGTGATGATGACGTTTAGGCAGCTGGATGAGCAAATCGGACCGAACAATCCCATATTCTTCGGTTCAATGCAAGAGTCTCGGCCCTGCTGGACAAGGGTTGATCCGGTGGTTAGAAAGGTGTAGCGAAGGATACCTCAACTTCGCTACGAGTAATGGGCACTCAGAAGAGTCTCGGCCAGGTTGCTTCAGGATTAGTAGTTTGGTTGCTACCGTCATGCTGGTTTCTTTTGCTGATCGTCGCGATGCTTCTACATCCACACAGGGGTTGTTGCTTTGTTGGTTATGTGACTAGATGAATGAAAATGAAAAATACATCAGAGATTTTCGAAAATGTCATTGAGGTTTAGTATTTACATATACTGACTTGATGATTAAGTAAAAATAATAACCACCAAATGAGAGGAGCGTCTTTCAGCTACTGTATGGACGAAAGCAACACTTAAGGCATATCAGCTGAAGTTCTTCCACTTTTTAAGGTTTTGTCGTTTGTCAATCGGACATGAAAATATAATCATTTTTCGAAAGCTAGAAAATAAGACCCACCAATTTTGGGTATTTTATCATACATCTATTTGGCTGACTGATAGTTTACTTTGGCTAAGAATTTCTTTATCAGTATATTCTTCCTGTTTCTGATATGAGATGGAATAATTAGCGGTACTTTGAGTACAATTTGGAATAGCCTTATTTATCCTTCATTATTTGCTGGTTATTCTCTTTTTCAGACCAGTAAATGTTCTTTGCAAGTGTTAATAAATAATTTCCCAATTTTCGGCCTAATGACCTTCGGCCTAGTCACCAAGCATCGATCCTTTTGTACCTATTCTTAGTCACCCGATTTTCTTGAGTCCTCTAAAACTGTTGGTTTTGAGTCCTAATAGACCCTTTGATCATTTAAAAGCACTGAGGTCTACTGATCCTAATAATTTATAATAATTTATTACTAATAGTAGCTCAGCTTTACGAGTGCCGTGTTATTCCCTGCGCATTGATTGATTCGTCGTACTTCCGAATGCTATTTCTGTGGAGCTCTACTTAGTTAACTGCATACGGATCGTGTACACCAGATCGTCGAATGAGTCAGGTGAAGTCAAGGTCGTTTTATTAACGTCTCGCTCGAAGGTGTCTCCACTAAAACTGCAAAGCATTCCTCGCCTGGAACTTTGTGGTGCACTTCTGTCTGCTGAGCTCTACCAGAAGGTCTCCAAAGCGCTACGCATCCCATCCAAAACCTACTTCTGGGCAGATTCAATCACCGTTTTGAGCTGACTCAAGGATACTGCATCAACTTGGTCAACTTTCGGTGGAAACCAGGTTCCCAAAATTCAGCAGAAGACGGAGAACTGCGAGCGTCAGCACGAAGACCGAGATCACGAGGCGATGGAAAATTTAAACCGCGTAAATGACACAGTGAAGTTCTACAAGAAGCTAAATAGGTCGCGCAAAGGCTACGTGCCGCAAGCCGATATGTGCAAGGACTTGGACGGTAATCTTCTCACGAACGAGTGTGAGGTGATTGAGAGGTGGAAGCAGTACTATGGCGTACTCAACGGTGAAGCAGCAGAAAACGAAGGTGGCACGGCAACATACCTTGGAGCACGCGCAGAAGACGATAGGCTACAGGCCCCCTACGTATGCCCAATCTACAAAAAGGGTGAATAGTTGGATTGCTGCAACTACCGCGCGATCACACTGCTGAGCGCCGCCTACAAGGTAAGTACTCTCCCAAATTCTATGCCGCCGTCTGTCACCACTTGAAAGAGAGTTCGTGGGGCAATATCAGGCGGGATTCATGGGTGCCCGCGCTACCACGGACCAAATTTTAGCGATTCGGCAGGTTCTGCAGAAATGCCGCAAATACAACGTGCCCGCAAATCATTTGTTCATCGATTTCAAATCCGCATACGACAAAATTGATCGAGATCAGCTATGGCAGATTATGCACGAGTACGGATTTCCGGATAAACTGACGCGATTGGTCAAGGCGACGATGGATCGAGTGATGTGCGTTGTTCGAGTATCGGGGACACTCTCGAGTCGTTTGAATCTCGAAGGGGGTTACAGCAAGGTGATGGACTTTCGTGTCTGCTATTCAACATCGCAATAGAAGGTGTGATCAGAAGAGCTGGGATAGACACGAGTGGCTCGATCTTCAGGAAGTCCATCCAGCTTCTTGGCATCGCCGATGACATTAACATCATCGCACGGAACTTTGAAACGATGGCGCAAACGTACATCAGACTGAAGACTGAATCTAGGCGGATTGGACTTGCCATCAACGCATCAAAGACAAAATACATGAAAGGAAGAGGTTCTAGGGAAGACAATGTTAGCCTCCCACCCCGAGTTCAGATGGACGGTGACGAAATCGAGGTGGTCGATGAGTTCGTGTATTTGGGCTCACTGGTGACCGCCGAAAATGATACCAGCAGAGAAATTCAAAGACGCATTATGGCAGGGAATCGTGCCTACTTTGAACTCCGGAGGACGCTCCGGTCGAATAAAATTCGCCGCCGCACGAAGTTGACTGTTCACAAGACGCTGATTAGACCGGTGGTCCTCTACGGCCACGAGACCTGGCCTATGCTCGTGGAGGACCAACGTTTGGTGGTGGTGGTGTTTTCGAACGGAAGGTGTTGCGTACCATCTACGGTGGAGTGCAGATGGATGACGGAACGTGGAGGAGGTGAATGAGCCACGAACTGCACCAGCTGCTGGGAGAACCATCCATCGTCCACATTTCAAAAATTGGGCGACTACTGAGCACGTCGTAAGAATGCCGCACGACGACCCAGTGAAAATGGTTCGCGAAAGCGACCCAACAGGAACAAGAAGACGAGGCGCAAGTAGAACGAGCAGACTACAAGGCTGGTGAAGTGTGGCCATGGATCGAGTAGAGTGGAGACGACTTCTTCGGACAGCAGAGGACAACAAGGTCTTAGCTTGATTAGTAAAGTAGTACAGTCGATGAAGGTGTTGACATCGAGGCAGCAAGAAAACCGTTGCTTGTAGTTACTTCTTGTTCATTAACATTCGTCATGGCAGATTCTCCAACTACCAGCATATGTTACTGGTGGTGGTACTTCGGTAATCTTCGTCTACCAAAGGCTGAGCGAACCGTTTCGTCACCGTTAACAACAGCCGAACTTCGTAGCGCTGAACTAGGACTCGTTCGACTGGTTCAAAAGGACAGTTTTGCTGCGGAATTGAAGGCACGGGAGGCAAAGCAGATGATCTCCTCTAATTCACGCCTTCACTGGTTCAATCCGATGATTGCCCTTGACAACGTTCTACGCATCGGGGGACGATTGAATCGTTCCGCACAACCCTATGATTCTCGCCATCAAATACTCCAGCCAGGATCACATTCTTTCACAACACTTCTCGTTCGCTGTCACCACGAACGTCTTCTTCACGCAGCTGTTCAGCCTCTCACCAACACTGGGTGGCAGAAATATCACTCGTCGTATCGTTCACGGCTGCCTTATCTGTTTCCGAGCAAAACCAAAACCAGTCGAGCAATTTTTAGCCGAACTTCCATTTCAGCATGTTACCGCTTCGAGACCATTGTTCGTCGTTGGTGTTGATTTCTGGGGACCAATCTACCTCAAGCCTCGTCACCGAAGAGATGCACTTCTGAAAGCCTTTGTAGCGCTATTCGTATGCTTCAGCACGAAGGCTGTTCACTTGGAGGTCGTCATGGACCTAACTACTACCAAGTTCCTCCAGGCTTTCCGTCGTTTCGTATCTCGTCGGGGTTTAAGGTCAGACGTTGTCGCGGCATAAACTTCGTTGGTACTGCTAACGAAATCCGGAAACTATTACGTGTCAAGGACTTCCAGCACTCTTTTGTCAGTGAATGTGCCACCAATGGAATTCGCTGGCACATCAATCCACCTCGTGGTTCACACTTTGGAGCACTATGGGAAGCGGTAATCAACTCTGCACAGAAGCACTTCGTTCAAGTATTGGGAGACCTAATTCGACATTTAACAGTCGACGGCATGGAAACACTCTTCGTGCAGATCGAAGCCTGTCTCAATTCACGACCACTTACCAAACTTTCCGAGAATCCGACGGATCTCCAAGTTCTCACACCGGGTCACTTTCTGATCCAGAAGTCTGGAAACGCTGGAAATATTCAGTAATATCTCGCATCGCTACAACCACGCAGCAAGTGCTGCAACCCACCTGTACCACTTCAAAAGAACCAGCTCGTCGTCATCATAGATGAGAACCAGCCACCGATGCGCTGGACTACAGCACGAATCCAAGAGCTGCATCCAGGAAAGGACGGTATAGTGCGAGTGGTCACTTTGCAATTTACAACAGGATTCCTCACCCGTCCTACAGCGAAAATCTGCCTGCTACCAATACCACCATCAATCAACAATCACCCATTATCAGCAGCAGCACCGCAACCACGGTCGAGCTAGCGGTTTCCCTAGTGTATGAATTTGGCCAACAGCATGGTTTCTGCAGAACAGCCCAACCAAACTCTTCAAAGTCGCTGGGAACAAAATGAACTCAAGACCCTTAATGCGAAGTATCCAGCGATGACGCCAAGTCTGCCGGGGGTAGGACGCACTGGAGATTATCAGCAGACAAGGCCCTCAAACAGCAGGGTCCAGGTAAGAACATGTCCAAAACATTTACTTTTTTTGGAAAATCCTACCGGGTCGCCGAGTTCTTCTACGAATCTTAGCGTCGAGTATCTCCAGAAATTGTAATTTCTGCCGGGGGCAGGATGTTCGGGAACGATGAAGATCTACCATCACGCTACCTAGGTGTCACACGGAGGAAGCAATTGCCTATAGCTAACCATTGGTCACTCACCGCAAACCACTACCACCGTTCATCAATCACGTACTTCGTTGTCTACCTACACGCATGTAGGCGAGTCTGTGGTACTGTTTAAAGCTTCGATGTTTGAGTCAGTACATGCAAGACTACACGACGGTATCATCCACCGTTTGACGCGCGCGGTCGGATGATTGGTATATCATTTGAAACTGCTTGTGATGTGATTAGATTAAGATTCAAACTAAAGTTAAGTCCAAATAGTTTTTTCGTTACGTTAAATAAAGTGTTGTTTGATGTGATCGCGGTTTCAGGTGGATCGCGAAACAGTTTGGAATCGACAATTCGACCGTGTCCCGTGTGGTTAAATCGTTCAAGGAGATCCGGATGACCCAGCGGCGAGCTGGCAGTGGAAGAAAAGCGAAGACGACCGACCCCATGAACGCAAAAAGTGAGGAATTACTTCAAGCTCAATCCGAGACTTTCCATTCGGGACATGGCCAAGAAGGTCAATTTTTCCGTCTGGTTCGTCCAGCAGACAATGGAGCCGGTCGGACTTCAAGTCTTCAAGTTAAGGAAGGCGTCTAACCGAACCGATAAACAGAATACGATGCCTTTACGCGAAACCGGTGATGGAGTGGTACGAAGCCAAAGATGTCGTTTTTGTGCCGAAGGAGGCAATTCCGCCAAATTCGCCAGAACTTCACCCAATAGAAAAATTCTGGGCGATTATGAAAGGGAAGCTCCAGAAAACAGGGGAGGTCTTCAAAAACGACAAGGATTTGAAGAAAGAGTGGATTAAAGTGTGTAAGAAAGATGGCGCAAGTGTTGCACAGGATTTGATGGGTTGCGTTAAGTCCAAGGTGCGGGCATTTAGCCTAGGAGTGGAGATTAAGTAAACCAACTTTGCAAAAACATCGCTAATATGTGTTTATTTATTACCTGAGAGTTTTAAAAATATCCGACTCAAAATAAGTTTTTGGTGATCATTTTTGTCTGTAGCAGTTTTTTCGAGTACAGTCTTTACTAAAAATTTAATACAGTTTTGGCATGTACCAATCATGGCCTATGTGATTTAAATAAGTAGGCCCAAAAATTACTACCATTGCGTACATGAGATTGTCCATAACTGGCTCACTTACCTTATCTGAGAATCGTTCTTTCAGATACCATACACTTATGGCACTCAAATCTGCTAGAGCTTTAGTGATCGTTGTCGTTTACAGTGAAATACATTGATTACTTATCCTCCACCATGAGTCACTTCTTGAGTTTCTAACGCATTAATACTCGACTGACTCTAAATGTATAGTACTCGGTCAGTTAAGATTTAATAAAACACAATGAAGAGTTACCTTATTGTATCAAGACTGCTCAAAGTATTTAGTTTGCAGAACACTAGGTTTAAGAATCAACTGCACATATCTTCCATGAATTATAACTCTCCTGAATTTGTAATCTATTAATGATCTAGTAATTCCAGCAAGCTTTATTAGACTGCCATCAATCATCTCATACAGGAATCTCCATAGTTTTTCCAAAACCCAGACTACAATTTAGGATTACAGCAAAAGCGCACCAACAACCCCAATAGATTACACATTAGCCCTGCAATCAACTTTATCTTAGTGTTTGCCGTTTGGATATTACCGCACCACTGGCTGACAGGCGTTATCGCATTCTTGCTTGTTTCTTATCTCTTTTCCCAACAGCCTATTTTTGGCAGCTCGAATCGAAAGGTAATCAACCTGCAACAGTGCTTGTTCAAAACTCGTCGCAATCACCTCGAATCGTGCCAGAATGTCGCCACTAAAGCGCCTCCCGGGAGTCGCACTCCTTCTTCTAATTCTAAGCCACGACTTAGAGTCCGCCGTCATCGTCGCACGCCAAGATTCCCCTGCACCTCTGGACACGGTCGTCAACATCAACGGTTTGGGTTTGGTTAGAGGTGGGCTAGGCCATACGGCTCGTACCAATCAGACCATCATCCAGTTCTACAACATCCCCTACGCGGAGGCTCCCATCGGGTCACGACGATTCAAGGCTCCGGTGAAGGCGAACCCATGGGACGACGTTCGGGACGTGAGTGCTCCGGGTCGGGAATGTCCCCAACCTGTCGAAGGTATGAATCAGGTCGATGAAAACTGCCTCTCGTTATCGGTGTTTACCAAAAATGTGAGTTACGTCATTACTGAATTGGAGCGTAGTTCTAACAAAATTCATAATTACAGACAACAGGCAACTTACCTGTCATGGTTTACATCCACGGTGGATCGCTATACCTTGGAGCAGCAGTACAGCACCCTCCGAATTATCTGATGGAACGAGACGTCATCCTTGTCGTAATCCAGTATCGCCTTGGACCTTTGGGTTTTCTGTCGACCTTAAGCGAAGTCATTCCAGGGAACGCTGGAATGCTGGACATGATCATGGCCCTGGAATGGGTTCAGGATCACATTGTCCAATTCGGAGGCAATCCGGAGCGAGTGACGGTTTTTGGACAGTCCGCTGGAGCCGCTGCCATTTCGGCAATGCTGTACAGTCCACTAGTTTCGCAGAAACTATTCAGTCAAGTTATTTTACAATCCGGTGGATCAATGGCAACTTGGGCGGTCGATCCCAATCCAGTGGCGAACGCAATAGATATAGCAAAGTACGCTGGGTGCAATGAGAATGCACCTTTGGTACAGATCGAACAGTGCTTGATGGCAGTGGGTGTGGAGGATTTGGTTAAAGCCTTACCGCTGCATGCTGCTAGCCAGTACACGACAAGTGGGATGGACAACATCGGAGGGTGTGGATTGGTCATTGGAGGACCGTCGGGTTTCCTACAGAGGAAACCCTTGGAATATGTCCGCCGTGGTGAAGTTCGTCGAGACGTTCGAATGATGGGAGGAGTTACCCAACAGGATGGTTCATTCGTAGTCAATGGCATCTACGACGGATTGATGGCCATGAAAATGATCAACGATTCCAAGTTCATCCAGTATGATCTTCTCGATATGATCAATCGCTACACCGGCCTAGAAGACTACTCGGGAGCTCTGTCGGCATTTGAAATTGAAGCCTTATTCAGCGCCGACGATCTCAAGAGTGGGAATTTTACCCAGATGGTCAACGGGCTGATTGATGTGAGTCGATCGATTAGCAATGATTTCCGATTATCTTCGAATACGGATAATAGTAATTGTTTTTATTTAGGTTGCCGGTGCCATCGTTATCAAAGCTCCCCTGCTGAGAGATATCCAGACAAATGTGCGATACAGCGAGGAGGGAACCTATCTGTATTCGTTCGATTACGTCGGGGAGCATACACGATTCGGCTACGGGGATGATACTTCACACTATCCGTATGGGGGTGGTATTCACCACTCGAATGATAACATCTATCTGTTCCCCTTTCCGGACTTTGCCGCAGAATTGAATGTGGCCGATACGAAAATGTCGGAAACGATGGTTGATTTGTGGACTTCGTTTGCCATCGATGGGGTTCCCAAGTCGAAAAGCGTTCCGGACTGGAAGCCGGTTAACAGTAAGACCTGGTGTATTCGGGTGTAAAAAATCGATTTGACTCATCTAATTTTCAATGATTACAGGTGTGGTGGGCCCCTACATGCACATCAACGTGCCAGCCAGCATGGGTCAAAATTTTTATCGGGAGTTTTCGGTGACGGCTACGGCTAAGTCAAGTGCTTTCGGAGTGGACTATACCCTACTGTCATTGGTGTCCATTTTAGCAATAGTTTTGCAATGGAACTAACCAGCTTGAACTATCAATTCATCCAAACTAACAATAATCGATAAGAATATGTATGTGTGTTATTGTCAAATATATTCAAACAAAATTCACTCTTGAACTACTTAGGTTGCAATCATAATCTGAAAGGGACTTCTATACCATATAAGAATCATTGAAAAGAATACCGCAAATCGTAAGAAACAGTGTTCAAGGTATTTAATTAGTAATAAAAACTAGGGCTACACATTTTGAGGAACTTTATTCAGTGTCAGATTAATCGCTTTGAACTTCTGAAAATATCTGCAACGAAAGTATGCATAGACAAAAATAATCGTCAACAAATCATAGCAGATCAATTCAGCAGTTGTGCGGCCATTATAGGTCAGATTCGATTATCCGCAGTTGACTTTTCTCACTTCCATCGGCGACTTCTCGTAAACAACACAATCATCCGAATAAACATGACAGAGACCTATTGCTCTAAAACCCATCATCTTAAAAAGGCTTGAATTTGTAATGGCAACACTCATCGATTTCTAGCCTCTACAAGTCATTTCCATTCCAAAAATACCCATACTAAAGAGTATTAAGCAGTTTTTCGAAAACTGGAAGCCACCATCTTCGACTTCAAAATGTTGTGAATATTCAATTTCTGGTCTCTGCAGGTATTTGACAGTTTATCCGGTCTCTACTGGTCGTTTACGTTTCGAAAATACCCATATTGTTGCGTATTTGACAGTTTTTCAAAAACTGGAAGCCGCCATCTTGGATTCCAAAATGGTGCCAATCATCTATTTCCCAACAAACATTGAAAGCTGAATAAAAGCTTATTCAGGTAAAAATATGCATCTGCAGAAAAAAATATAGCTTATTGGGTTCCGCCTTCTACTCGTCGTTTTCGTTCTGAAATTATCCATACTGTAGGGTCACTTCCATTCCAAAAATACCCATATTGTAAAGTATTTGACAGTTTTTCAAAAACCAGAAACCACCATTATGGATTACAAAATGGCGTTAATCATCGATTTCCGGTCTTTAATCGTCGTTTCCGCTCCGAAAAAACCCATATTGTTTTTTTTTGGGGAACACCCCTCACCATCCCTCTCCAAAGGGGGAGTTTGGTAAAGAGAGATGAAAAAACCGATTTGTACCTTCCTTAAAAGTTGTCCTAGCTCGCTTGTCTAATATCTATATACAATCTTCACACTGCCGTACTCTAACGGAACTATCAACTCTATGCTTTCATCTACTCCCTCTATCGTATAAAAATTACCACTACAGTCTGTTATTTGAAATTAGCATCTTCAACTATATAAACCATATTGTTTGTTATTTAACAGTGTTTTTTAAAACCGGTGGCGAACATCTTGGTTTTTTTTTAGAAATTCGGGATCCAAAATGGTGTCATTAATCGATTTTAGTAGTTTCCGTTCCGAAAATACCGATACCGGAGAACTTCAAGATTTGGGCGCGATTTCTTTTGTAAAAAACACGTCAATCGCCGATTTCTCGCGAATAAAAGCTCAATCTCGGGATCAAATTACACCACATCATAGACGAATCATTCCTTTACCTGTTTGTGTTGTTAATTTTCTAGGCTGAGCTTTTATTCGCGAGAAAATGTCAATTGAAGCGTTTTTTACAAATGCAATTACGCCCAAATCTTAAATCACTACGGAATATTGTAACATCTGCTCATGCATTCGTGTATTTACAAAATGTTAGTGTAAAGTATGTTTTATTTTGGGGTGTTAGTGTTAATTGCTAGCTTCACACTTAGCTTCTTTACTGCTCCGGTCCAGATTTCATCGCTTTTCTGCTACTGCTGCATCTTCTTTTCCTTGCTTCGTTCCACTACATATTCATTAAATCAGATTTGTGTAAGTGCAAGATTTATTGTTTTCTTCTCTATTTCATTAATGTCTTCACCATCATATTATCTTCAACTTACTTCCTCTCAGCCTGCTGCTAATTCCCTTCGTCATCTCATATTTCCTGCTTCTTGTATTCCCATCCGCTTTCATATTCTTTTCCTCTCCAACAGCTTCTGCTTCCCCTCCATCATCCTTTCATTTCCAGCTTCTTGGATTTCCATCCTCTTCAATCTTCTTCTGATTTTCATTTTTCGATTTTCCGCTTAATTTGATATCCGGTTTCACCTTCTTTATCGCCATCCTCTTGATCCGTGCTTGCGCCTGTATCCACCTTTCCGTCTTCTTTCGCCCCCTTGCTTCACCCTCTACTTCTTCCTTTGCATAAACTTCCTCGATTCTTAATCTCTATCTTCATCTGCTTTCTTCGCATCATCTTTTGTCATCATCATCAGCTTCCATTTCTGCCCTTAGGCAGCGGCAACTCTTCTCCTTCATCTTCTTGATTTTCTTTCGTTCTTCGCTTGATCTACTGCCGCGCTTTCTTCATCTTGTTCTCCATTCATGTCTTCTTCTGCTCCCACTTTGTATATTTCTTCTCCATCCTCTGTTTTCTTCTGTTGTCCTTAACGTCCTCTGAATCCGCTTCTCTCTTTTCCTCGTTTTCGCAATGTTCGATAGATATTTGCTTCATGCAGGAACTTCAGAAACCGCTTTTTACTGTCATCATCGTTGCATAGTGCCATGTGAAGACTAGTTGGGCTGATCCCATGTTTCGTTCTGATTACTTCAAATTTCATGCAATGTAGACTTACGCCGGACATCCATAACCGTTCCACAGTATTCGCTTGCCGGTGGCGATGATTTCTTTAATAGAAGTTCGCGTGTCAGCCTGGTATGGCCGATGTGCAGACGAGTGAGTACTCGCTGGTCGGCAGAACTGTTCTGATCGATCCACTTTTTCGTGTCGCGTTTTATCTCCTTCAGCTTGACTTCTGTTAGTTGCGCCCATCGTGCCTCCCTCTGTTGACGAACGGCTTGGTTCATTGCCTTAATGGCATCTTTCCCTGGAATACCGATATGTTGAGTGGTGGATCATTTCGTGCTTCTCTGGCGAGTCAGACCGCTTCTTCGTTGCCACGGATGCCGGCGTGGCCGGGAACCCAACACAAGTGAATCGGACGGTTTCGAAGCAGATATTCAATTTCTTGGATCCAGGGATGCAGCGATTTGCCGCTCTCTATTGCTGAAAGACAGCTAGCCGAAACGGGCAGAATGATCAGGTCATTTATTGTACTCGCCCCGTTGACAGCCGATTTGATCGTATAGGCCTCCGTCGAAAAAACGCTACATCGTGATGGAAGGACTATTGCTCTCTGCATACTGCCGCTGATTACTCCTGCTCCTACTCTGTCCTCACACCTAGAACCGTCGGTATAGATAGCCGTATCAAGGTGAAACCGGCCAGCAATTTCTTATACGATGGGACGCACTGTATCTGGGAGATCTCCAGCTTTACAATACGTCGATTGGCGCGACGTGCCGGTACAATGATGGTCGGCAAATTTATATCAACCTTCGCCAGACGATCGGATACACAAAGCAAGACTGGAAGGTCGACATTTCTATGATCCTTCTCCAGCAAACGAATGGCAACTCGAACTGTCGCTTGAAAAACCAAGAGATCGAACGGTACTGTGCCCGTTTCAGCCATGATTGCTGGAATCGGGTTGGTGACGTACACATCCGAGACAAACCGGACCATCCGGTTGTAGATGGGTGCGAGAGTTTACACAACCGTATCCTTCGCTCTGCTGACGAGTCCGATGCCGTAGAGAAAACGTGACGTAACGATTGCCGATCCGATGCACAGAAGAGACTTGCGTTACCCTTGTAGAAGTTTAGGCCCAATCATTTGAAGAATTCGCCGCCTTGAATCGCATGTAGTTTTCACAATCTTACAATACTGCTTGAATGTCAGTGACCGGTCGAGGGTGACACTGATGACTTTCAAACGATTCGTCTTCGGTACTGCTACACGATAGATGCAGATGATTATTTTGCTTTCGAGGATCGATTCTGATTTTGACAATTTTGGGTTGGATAATCAAGCATTGATGAATATCAACAAACGCAATTCATCTCTGACTAACCTTGAAAAGGAACGTTTTTTAAGAGCATTTTTGTTCATTGTCAAATCAATTGTTTCATAATGTTCATTATAACAAGACAGTATAACAAGATTCACGAACGAATTAAAAATAACTTTATTGTAATAAAAGAACAATTACAAAACGTGTGAATCAATTTGCTATCGCAATTATGTAATGATCATGATGACGCCGTCTCTCGGTCCGGTCCCCAACGTTCGTGCTGGCATCTGTCAGGCTGACATCTGTCAGCTGATGAGCTCTGGTGGTGAAGTCGGTGGGGGGCCTCTCAACAGTTAATATAAAACATATTTCTGTTTATTAAGGAACGAGTGGGAGCATAAAAATTTAGATTTTCTAAAATCTCTGTGGCATTCACTCTATGTGCTACAACATCGTTTATAAAAGCTATCATTGCAAACTGCCTTCGCTTTTCAAGTGCATCCAAATTGATCAACATACATCGAGACTCAAAATATGGTAAGGGTAAACTCGTCCAGCCTAACTTTCTTAGAGCAAATAATAGAAACAGTTTTTGAACTGATTCAATGCGCTTTATATGAGTATCTTGATATGGAGTCCAGACTATACTACAGTACTCAAGAAGGGGCCTAACATATGCAACGTATAATGTTTTGATTGTGTATGGATCATTGAAATGAAAGCTAAACCTTTTAATAAACCCTAGTATGTTACTTGCCCTGTAGATAATGTTATTATAATGTTCAACAAAGCTTAATTTTGAATCTAGTATAACACCTATATCTCTAACTTGATTGCACCTTTCTATTCTGTTTTGTCCTATTGTTACATGTTCTTACCTAATAATTTACTTTCTTGTAAATGAAATGAAATTACATTTCTTCACATTAAGCTTTAATAAACTTTTTATGCACCAAGTGTAAAAGTTATCAATTTCTTGTTGAAATACTATAAGATCAGACGCTTCACGAATTTCCAGAAAAGTTTAAGTCGTCTGCATATATTGAGACATTCAGGATATTCAATATGTGCTCAACGCCATTGCTATTTGTTAACAGTAATGGG